TTCCTGCTCCACTGATGCTGCTTGGCCTGCTGTGTTCATCCAGCTCTACACCTTGTTATCTCAGATTCTCCAGCATCTGCAGTTCCTACTATCTATGAAATTGTTTTGCCGGTTTTCGTGTTTTAACAACAGCCCATCATTACGATGCTCCAATGAACTGAAACTTTTCTTTCCATGCAAAGGAAATCAGGAAAATGACCAGGATGGAAAATATTGACCATGCCTGAGAATGAGGCTGAACTGGGTGAAATACTGGAGTTGAAAAGGACGTAGAGGGGGGTTATTATTCTCTTTTATTCTATTAGAATAATTTTGGTACCTTGCCACCATTTTCTGGCTCTACCACTATTTTTATGACATATTCCAGAACATGATTTTTTTTTTTCTAAATGACCACTTCTGGTACTTTGTGGTATTTGCCATCTCTACTAGTAAGTGGTAGCGGGTAGGTTTTGAGGTAGTTCACTGGCACCAATTCTCTTTAGGCCTAAGGCAAAACAAAGACAATTTAGTGATTAGTGATGGGGGAAAGACCTCCATAGAGTACCTATAGAAGAGGCACCATTCTTGGATAACAAGAAGAATTACTGCATGATAGCAATAAGTACATCTACATTTGGTCAAACATAGCTATGAGTATGTTCATAGAATCATAGAATCCCTACAGTGTGGAAGCAAGTCATTTGCAAGGCCCCACCGACCCTCAGAAGATCACTCTACCCAGACCCACTCCCCTATCCTATCCCTGTAATCCTGCATTTCCCGTGGCTAATCCACCCAGCCTGCACATCCCTGGACACTTGGGACCATTTAGTATCACCAATCCACCTAAACCGCACATCTTTGGACAGTGGGAAGAAACCGGAGCACCTGAAGGAAACCCATGCGGAAATGGGGAGAATGGGCAAACTCCACACAGTCAGTCGCCCAACGTTAGAATTAAACCCGGAGTCCTGGAGCTGTAAAGGAGCAATGGTATCCACTGAGCCACTGTGTCATGTTAGAGAGCTGGTACAGATTAATGGCTCCCTCCAGTGGCTAGAGTAGTACTCCTTGTCTCCATCCACAAACAGCATGTGTATGGAATTGATGTGCATTAATATTAACTCTTCAGAATGATTACTTTTATGCAAGTAGCAGACACGAAGACATGAAACCTGACTGACTACCCAAGCTACATGGAACAATAATGGAAAACTCAGCCCTGTCGACCATCTAAAATCTGCATTACCGATTCGAGAGGCTTGAGCTAAAATTAAGTGACCTATTCCACACAGGTCAGGCAAGCAATGTCTGGTAAGAATAAAACTCCAGAAACACAAGTCCATGGCAGAGGGGTTTAAGGCATCAATGTTAAAAAATAAGTGAGCTGTGTTAGCATTTTGTTTTAAGGATCTTGGGAAGAAGTATGAATTAATAAAAATAGCTTTGAGTGAATGCAGAAATTTGCCAAAAAGAAACCAATTATTACCTTGCCATCTGATCAAGGATTTTTAAAGTGGAGATCACATGTGAACTTTCACTGAGGTTTGAAAACCTGTAAATTTGAGGGTAAAAGGGTTGATATTTGTAGTAAGATAACTTCAAATTATTCTTGCATGGTGGAATATAGTTTGAGCTTCTCTTTTGTCATAGTTTTTTTTTAAATTTGTTAAGTGCAGATAGTCTATAGTATATAGGTTCAGTGCCTGGCCACCATAGCAAACAATTAGCAAAAATAAAACATATGGTCTGTCAAGCCATGTCAAACTAGGATTGGACTTGTCCAGTATTACTATCAACTGGGATAATAACAAAGCTTCTGAACTATTCTGAAGAAGAATCAAATTGCACTCAATGTTGACTCATTCTATGGAGAGAGAAACAGTCAGATCAGATGAGTTGCTCCAGCAGTTTTCTTTCTTTTTGTCTTATTGTATAACGTAAAAATGATGGGTCACACTGGTGAAGCTACAAGATAAGACTATTATGTGCCAAACTCTATCAGCAGAAGGTGATAGACGTGGCTAAGTCATCTCTTAAATAACATGTCAAATCTAAGACATGAATAGACATAGGACAATTAAACAGCTCACTGGAAGACAAGACACTACAAATATCCCCATCTTCAATGATCAGGAAGCCTAGGAGATTAGTGCAAAAGATAAGGCTGAAGCATTCGCAACAAACTTCAGCCAAGAGAGGTGAATGGATGATGAAACTTGGCCTTCTCCAGAGGTCCCCAGCATCATTAGATGCCAATTATCAGCCCATTTGGTTCACTCCACGTGATATGAAAAAAACAGTTGAAGGCATGGCAGCTCAGTGGTTAGCCCTGGTCCCTCACAGCACCAGGGACCCAAGTTCAATTCTTGCCCCAGGCGACACTCTCTGTGTCTCCATAGGTTTCCTCCCACAGTCCAAAGACGTGCAGGTTAGGTGGATTGGTCAAGCTAAATTGCCCAAAGTGTCTGGGAATATGTAGGCTAGGTGGATTAGACATGGTAAATGTGGTGTCACAGGGATAGGATAGGGGTATGTGTCTGGGAGGGATACTCTTCAGAGGGTCAATATGGACTTGATGGGCTGAATGGCCTACTTCCACATTATATGCACGGAAGATGTACTCCAGGTCTTACCTGGCCCCTAACTAAGCTGATCCATTAAAGCTTCAAGACTGGTACCTACCCAACAATGTGAAACTTTTCTTAAGTATGTCTGCAGACAAAAATAATGACCTATCCAACCTAACCAATTCCTGTCTGATCAGTCCACCCTCAATAAAGTAATTGACTGAGTCATCAACAATACTGTCAAACAGAACTGGCTTAGGAACAGTCTGCTCAGCTTGGGCTCTGCCAGGGCCACTCAGCTCCTGACCACAAAACAGCTTTGGTTTGAACATGGACAAAAGAGCTGAATTCCACAGGTGAGGTGAGTGAGAGCCCTTTACATCAAGGCTGCATTTGACAGTGTGGGAACATTAGCTACTGAGAAGAAAATAGGGCAACTCATTCAATCTGTGCAGTTCCCCCGACAATGAGAGTCCCTCCTTCCAGACCACCCTGCCACTATATCAGACAGGAGCCGTGATAGTTGTGAGGAGTTAGCAAATGCCAGGAGCCAATGTTGTTGGATGAGGGCAGCATACAACTACTGCCCATGGAGCATGTCAGAAATGCTGTACACAACATGGAGATTCTTTGGGGCAAGTGATGAACTCTTAGGTTTCTGCTCTGCTTTCAATATCATGACTTCTCGATGTCTAACTTATTTGATGTAAATAAGATCAATTATATTAATGGCATATTAATGAGGTGATTTTGTCCATTAACAAGACTCTTCACAAGCAATAATCCCCATTAATTGGTAACTTGCCACACCACTTGTCAAAAGCAGGAAAGATGGAGCAAGATGCTCCAGACATCAAGTGGCCCTTATCAGATTTCTTGTCTGATTCTACCACAAATGGGGATCTGATGACTCAGGATTCTATTCATGGCTTCACCAGTGTCTGACAATAGCCAGGGGAATGCACTGAGGTTGATTTTTGTGGGAGATATAAATCAGATGGACCCTACCTTGTCATTGGGCCTTAAGCTGCCAAGTACAAACTGTGGTCTGAATAGACAGCTCACCAGCTGGAATAATTAAATTCTATTGGGTCAAGAATCCTGTTACGTCCTCAGCACCATTTTTTCGAGGTGTGCAGTGGAAGACTACGATTGAAGGGGATCCACAGTATTGAGCAGGAGAGAAACAGTTTGCAGCCTTGAGGAAATGGAAATCGTATTTTTAGTGTCAAAACTCTCAAATGACTGTAGTGAGAATGAACAAAAACAAAGTTGCTGGAAAAGCTCAGCAGGCCTGGCAGCATCCGTGAAGGAAAAATCAGAGTTAATGTTTTGGGTCGGGTGACTCTTCCTCAGAACAGTGAGAATGAATGTCAGACCTGCTTACATTTTACCTAAGTCCAGCTAAGGTTCTCTTTAAAATACAGTTTGCTAGCCTCCCACACCGTGATTGGTTCAGATTGAAGACCTAATGAGAGAAGTGAGGGCAAAACTGAAAGTGAAATCAGTCACTAAAATGTCATTGGTCTCAATGTTCATGTTTTAGCTATGAACCCCAATTGCTTCCAATTGGAGATCTGACTGCTATTTTGAACCCTATTGATAAAATGGAATGGGAAGCTTGAACTATAAATTAGTACTTCTGTTTGCCTGCAAGTTCAGTCCCACTACCACCTAATTTTAAGTATGTTGGTATGTCATATGTGGGGTCTTAGATGCATTAGGTGCACTACTCTATAAAAGACAGGTTGCTGGAGTCTGAGAAATTTCAAAGTAACTTTTTTATTTACATCATTCTAAATATAACATTTTGGGTAAACATCAGGTCTAGACTTCTGTCTATTATAGCTAACTATTACACACAAATGTTCAATTGTGAAAAGAGAAGAATTGAGAACCAAGCTTCAAATAGGATGTGCTGCTTCAAATGATCTCAGGTAAGATGGAGTCTGAGACCTTTATACCATCAGATTACTTACTGTGATATAATAATGATATCATGAGCATGCCTCTTAAGGGTAGACTGATTTACTGATGGTGAGACATAACAGAGTTGCTCTACCATATGATTGATATCAGCGATGCTGTAATAGCTTCTTGTGTCCATAACTAAAAGTTAAACTTTTATTCTACATTTCCCAACAAGTCATTTTCTCTGTACAACGTAGGGTGAGGAGAAAAATATGCTCTAGCATGATTGCAGTTATCTTTTGAGTACTCAGCAAAATAGACGACATTTACTCCTTTGTGCCCGTCTGCTGATGAGTCACCTGCTCAGATTCTCTCTGGAAATAATGATGCCATGGCAACCCTAGATAGCCTTTCTTCATAGCAACATTCCAATACTGGGAGAAATGTATTTCATTCTCTGGATACAATTACGTTTGTACAAAATGTATCTTTCTAATAAATATTTCATTAAAAGATTTAATGCAGAATATACTGCAGAAGACACTGAAAGTCTGCAGAGGGATATAGATAGTCTAAGTGAGTGAGCAAAGGTCTGGCAGATGGAATACAATGTTGAAAAGTGTGAGGTCATCCATTTTGGTAGGAATAACAGCAAAATGGACTGTGTTTTAAATGGTAAAAAATTGCTGCACGCTGCTGTGCGGAGGGACTTGGGTATCCTTGTGCATGAATCGCTAAAAGTAGGATTCTGAGGAAGGATCACCAGATCTGAAACGTTAACTCTGTTTTCTCCTTCACAGATGCTGCCAGACCTTCTGAGCTTTTCCAGCAACTTTGTTTATGTTACCAGGATATATGATTGTTTTACTTAGCTAATACTCTACATGGACTCTAGTAAGGCATTAGATAAGATACCGCATGGCAAGCTGGTACAAAAGATAGAGTCTCAAGGGATCTGGGGTGTGCTGGCTAGATGGATATAGAATTGGCTTGGTCATAGAAGACATAGTGGCGGTGGAAGGGTGCTGTTCAGAATTAGATCAGTAACTAGTGGTTTTTCACAGGGATCAGTGTTGGTACCTTTTGTTGTTTGTAATATATAAATGACCTGGAGGAAAATATAGGTGGTCTGATTAATAAGTTTGTGGGTAACACCAAAATTGGCAGAGTTGCAGATAGTGAGGAGCATACAGCAGGATATAGATAGATTGCAGATTTGGGCAGAAAGATGGCAGATGGAGTTTAATCCAGACAAACGCAAAGTGATGCATTTTGGAAGATCAAATTCAGGTGTGAATTCCACAATAAATGGCAGAACCTTTAGGAGCACTGACATACTGAGAGATCTGGGCATACAGGTCCACAAATCCCTGTAAGTGGGCACACAGGTAGATAAGGTGGTCAAGAAGGCATACAGCACACTTACCTTCATCAGCCGGGGCATTGAATATAAAAGTTGGCAAGTTATGTTACAGCTGTACAAAATGTTAGTTAGGCCACATTTGGAATATTGTGTGCTATTCTGGTTGCCACACAATCAGAAGGACATGGATGCTATGGAAAATGTACAGAGAAGGTTTACCAGGATGTTGCCTGGTCTGGAAGGTTTTAGGTATGAGGAGAGGTTGGAAAAACTCAGATTGTTTTCACTGGAAAGAGGGAGCCTGAGGGGTGATCTGACAGAGGTCTACAGAATAGAAATGCATAGATAGGGTGGACAGTCAGATGTTTTTTCCACAAAAGGGAAGGTGAACTACAAAAAGGGCACAGGTTCAAGGTGAGAGAGGGAAACATTTTAGGGAAAAAGTGCAAGGAAAATTTTTCAGAGGTTGCTGGGTGACTGGAATGCAATGCCAGTGGAGATGGTGGAAGCCAGCACGTTAGCAATGTTTAATGCGTAACTTGATAGACACATGAACTGGAGGTGAACAGAGGGATAGTTACCGTGCATGAGCAGTAAATAGTGGGTCCAAATAAGGATTAGGAATCAGCACACGCTTCATGGGCTGAAGGGCCTGGTTCTGTGCTGCATTGTATAAAAGATTCTGTAAAATACTGCATGTTGATGTTGTATTTCTAGTTAATTCAGTGTAACTATTTTCAGTGAACCTCTTACTCTGCTGTGCCTTCCTCATTCTATAACATTATTTTGAGACCCAAAGAATTAATTAATCATTCAGAAGCACTTTATCATTGTTTTACTGCTCATGAAATAAATGAGGTTTCCTCCAGTTTCTTCTTTGATCCAGAAAAATCGATGGTCCAGTTTCAAGCATGCAGCACAATTATTGACTGCAGCACTCCTCACTTCCAAACCATCAGGTGAGCAATTGTTTAACTAAATAGTTCTTGCACACCTAAGTAAAAATTGAATATGCCAAAAGGAGCCATGTGGAAAAGACTGACAAAAACAGCCTACCAGTATATAATGTGACATTGTGCTTAACTTGTGAGGTAAGAAGATTGAGAATCTTATGTACTTAGGGATGTTTAAGAAATTTTAAAAGCTCTACTTTCAGAATGTGCTGGATTTGTACCAGCTTTCTGGAGATGGATTGGGAGGTGATGTAATGGAAGGAAAGCCCGACAACTTTCTATTGTCATGACATATTCCCAAAAATAAGAATGGTAGCAGCATGGTCTCACTTCTCTAGACGGGTATATCCCTGCTGGTTTCTGTTACAAGAACTGTGATTGGCTCCTTCTTTTCTGTGCAAATTGAAGTGAATGGTGGAGGCTAGACCCCAAGTAAATTTTGTTCCTTTTTTTTTTGACCAACCACAGGATGTGAGCATCAAATGGTAAGAACAGCATGAATTGAGTTCAACAGTAAGCTTCACATGACCAGGAAGGAGTAATCACCACATTTGGAATGAGGCACACCCCAAATAAATGTGTAGTTCAAGGATTGTGGAATTTGATACAGAGGGGAAGAGGTTTTTTTTTGCTTGCCTTTTTTTGTTTCATAGTTTGGAAGATTTTTTAAATTGGATAAATTGAAGCCCAGGATCGGAAGCCCAGCAAAAGAGTGACTTTGCAGGAAAATTGTAAGGTTGTTGGTTAGTAATTGCTGCTAATTTGACTATTAAGTTATCTTCAGATTGAAGGTGAGTAGGAAAAACATTTACAGACATAAAAACTAAAAGACCAGTAAGAAATTAAAAAAGAAACAAATTGAGAACCAAATAAATTGAAAACCAAGTAAGAGGCAATGATTTAGTGGTCATTCACTAGACTATTAATCCAGAGACCCAAGTAATGTTTCTAAGAACGATATGTCATGGAGTCGAAAAGGAAGCAGGCTATCTTGGATCTGGTAATGAAGCAGGTTTAATAAATGATCTCAGAGTAAAATATCCCCTAGGAAGTAGAGATCATAATATGATAGAATTCAATATTCATTTTGAGAGTAAGAAACTTGGGTTGGAAATGACTGTATTTAACTTAAAGGGAATTACAATGAATTGAGGATAGAGTTAGCGGATAGATTAGCAGGAACAACAGTAAACAAGCAGTGGCAGACTTTCTGATTCACTCATGGGACATGGGCATCAGTGGCTGGCCAGCACTTTTTTCCTGTCTCTGGTTGCTGTTGAGAAGTTGGTGAGCTGCTGCCTTGAACAGCTGGTCATCCCTGTGCTGTTGACCCACAATGCCCTTAGGGGGGTGCAATTCCAAGATTTGACCCAGTGACAGTGAGGGAATGACAATATATTTCTAAGTCAGGGCAGTGAGTAGTTTGGAGGGGAACTTGCAGGTAGGTGGTCTCATTTATCTGCTGCCCTTGTTGTTTGAGGTGGGAGTTGTCATGGGTTTGGAACATTAAGGATGTAATTCATGACTCAGCAAAAATACATCCCAGTCAGGAGGAAAGATTCTAAGAGGGATAAACCAACCATGGCTAATAAAGGAAGTTGAGATATTTAATTTGACGATAGCCCCAAAGACTGGGATAAATTCAGAATCCAGCAAAGGAGGACAAAAGTATGATAAAGACAGAAATAAACTGTAACAAGGGTAACCTAATAAACTAACAATAGCTTCTTTAAATATATAAAAAAAGGACAGCAGTCAAAGTGAATATAGGCCCCTCAGTAAATGAGTCTTGGGAGAAGGTTTTGGAGTAGGAGGAAATGGAAGAGAAGTTAAACAAATATTTGCATCAGTCGTTATGGTGAAAGGTACTTTGAACATCCCATTAATATTAGAGAACATAGGGAAAAATTAACTACCATCAGCATCTTTAGAGAACTAGTATTAAACAAACTAATTGGGCTAAAGGCAGATGAGTCCCCTGGCCCTGATGGCTTGCATCCTAGAATCCTAACAGGTAGTTACAGAAATAGTGAATGCATTGATTGCAATTTTCCAAAATCTTGAACTCTGGAGAAGTACCAGAGGGTTGGAAAATTGTTAATGTGACACCAGTATTCAAAAAAGGAAGGAGCAAAAATCAGGTAACTAAAGTCCAATAAGCCTAACATCTATTTTTTGGAAAAGTACTGTGATCAATTATTAAGAAAGTAAGAGCAGAACATTTGGAAGAATCATAATCTAATTTGGCCATGCTAAATTGCCCATAGTGTTCAGGAATGTGTTGATTAGGTGGGTTATAGGGGGATGGGTCTGGGTGGGATGCTCTGAGTCGGTGTGGGCTTGTTGGGCCTAAGGGCCTGTTTCCACGCTGTAGGGATTCTGTGATGATTCTATGATCTAATCAAGCAGGGTCGGTTCATGAAAGGGAAATCATGTCAAACTAATTTATTAGTTTTTTTGAGGAAGTCTCAACCAGAGTGATTACAGGGGAACTGGTGGCTGTGTTGTATTTGGACCTCCAGAAGGCATTTGGCAAGGTACCTCATGAAATGTTTGGTCATATGATAAGGGCCCAAAGTGTTGCAGGAAGTATGTTGACACGGTAAAGAATTGGCTCAAAGGCAAGAAACAGCGAGTGGGGATAAAATCAGGTTAGTGACCTGTGGGTCCCACAGGAATCAGTGCTGGGACCGCAGCTGTTTTAAAACTTGCATCAATGACCTGGAGGAAGGCAGTGAATGTATTGTGGCCAGATTTGCAGACGACACCAAAATAAGTGGAAAAGCAAGTCGTGATAGGGATGCAAACTGTTTAGAGTGAGGGTTTGACAGATTGAGTAAGTGGGCAAGAAGTTGGCAGATGGAGTAGAATGTGGGAAAATGGAGTTGCTCATTTTGGAAGCGAGCAGAAAGAAGCAGTCTTATTTAACTGGTGAGAAACCACAGAAAACTGCAACACAAAGGGACTTGGGGGTACTTGTGCATGAAACATAAAGGTAACTACAATGCAAGGGTAATCAGGAAGGCAAATGGAATGTTGGCTCTTATTTCAAGGGGGTTGAAGAATAGTGAAATCTTACTACAACTGTACAAGAAGCTGGTGAGACCACATCTGGAGTACGTGAGCAGTTTTGTCCCCTTATTTAAGGAAATGTATCATTTCATTGGACGCAGTTCAGAGAAGGTTCATTTGGAAGATCTCTGGTATGGCAGGATTGTCTTATGAGCAAAGGTTAAACATGTTGGGATTCCACTCACTGGATTTTAGAAGAATGAAAGGTATTCTCATTGAAACATATAAGGGGATTGACAGGGTAAATACTTAGAAGATGTTTCCCCTCATGGCCTAGGACCAGAGAGCATAGCCTTAGAATATAGGGGCACCAATTTAAGATGGAGATGAGGAATTTCTTCTGAGGCTTGAGACTCTTTGGAACTCCTTTTCTGCAGTGAGCTGTGGGTAGAGTCCCTGTATATATTTAAGGTTTAGATCCTTGATCAGTTGGGGAATAGAGGGTTATAGGGAAAATGTAGGAAAGTAAATATGAGGAATGTCAGCCATGATCCAATTGAATCATGGAGCAAGCTTCAGCTGAATGGCTTATTCCTGTTCCTATTTCTTACAGTCTTATTAAAGCACTTCAGCATCACTTTCTCAGAACAACTCGGGATGGGCAATAAACAGTGGCCCAGCTAGGGTTTCCCACATTCTGTAAATAAGAGAAAAAAAAATGTCCTTGAAGATGGTAATGAGTTGTGTTCATAAATTGTTGTGGTCCATGTGATAGGGATACCCCCATAGTGTTGGTGGTAAGGTATCCAGCATATTGACCCAGGGACATTAAAAGAACAGAACATTGTTCCAAATGAGGGTAGTATGTGACTTACAGATTAATGTATTCCCATTCTTCTGCTGCTCTTGCCTTTCTAGATTGTAAAGATCATAGATTTGGAAAATGCTGTTGAGGTGTGTGGGCAACTGGCTTGTCTATGCTGTTGCTACTGTGCACTGGTAACTGGAGAGACTCAATGATAAGATGGCATATGGGGTGTCAATCTGGCTGCTTTGTTCTGGATTGCAGGGAAATGTTTTTGACAATTTTGATGTTGAATTTGCCACAGATAGGGGGAGGTAGGAAAACAGCTAATTTTTAATGTTTAAACCTCCTAGGATGTTGCAAAACAGTAAAATCTGGCAGTGCTATCAAGAAACAACCAAAAGATATTGCATAGTCAAAGAAGCCATCTGTTTAAACAATGCCTACATGGTGTTACACAGAACAAAGTGGGTCTCAGTGATAAATAATCTCAGCTCTATTAGAAGGCTGTAACCCAATCTATCCAGCCAATTAACTGTTCATGTGGTCGAAGCTGATAGATTTAACTGAAAGGTCTTGTATACGGTGTTTTTTTTTGCCAAAACCATCTGAAATGTATTGGGTGGACTTGTTGCTAGTGTTAGTCTAGGTTACTAACACCATGTGGGGAAGGATATCCACACAATATCTTGCGCTGAAACTAGGCTCAATTTGAACTGTTAAAACTTTATTACATATTAATGGCTAGTTACATTACATCTAAGATGCATTATTGTCTTATGTTAAGCCTGCTATCTCACCAAAAGAGTAAGATTATATTATTTCTACTAAAACAAACATTCTCAAAACTTCACAACTCTAATTAGTTCCTCCCAGAAATAGTCCATCTTAATAGATACTTTTATCAACCTGTTGAGACCCCCCCCCCTCTGGAGAAGGAGAAAATTGAACCTTTGCATCTTGGCACAGGGTAGGTAGGGACACTACCAGTGTGCCACAAAAGCACCTCTTTTGAAAGGTCTGATCAGTCACCCATGCCAACTACAGGTTTTTTTTAAATCAACCTGTTATGACATTCTTTTGGAGCAGGTGGGACTTGAAACTGAGTCTGCTGGTCCAGAGGTAAAGACACTAGCACTGCAGCACAATAATTACACAGTTCTTTGTATCCTGACAGGTGGAGCTTATCTCAGCATGTCAGTTAACCATTTCCTGTCCTAACTAGCTTATTACAGAATCTCCTCCCAAATCTTTCTCTGGTTATCAAATTGTTTCAAATAAATAGGAGAGAGTTATCTCTAACCCCATCTCCCCAATTTCCTCCCAAGTGGCCTCGTGCGCCACCCTGTGGCACATGGCCCGTCGTGGCTGAAGAAGGCAGCTATCCACCAACTTCACAAGGGCAACTAGGAACAGTCAATAAATGCTGGCCAGTAACGCCCACATCCCAAGAAAGAATGAAAACTTCTCTCTCTCAAAGAGAGTTGTGGCCTTTTGGATTGAAAGCCTGCTGCTTGAGGATGAAATATTTTGGGCACAGTTCATTGCCCCACCTTGGTGTGTTTGTTTTCCCAGATGCACTCACATGACAATGCCCACAGGCGTCAACGTCACTGTTGAATGTTTATTTCCCTTAGACGATCTTTAGTTTCCTCAAATCTTACCAGAGCAGTTAGCTGTGTTTCTGAAATAATTAATCTTCTTTCAACACTATAACGAGGTATTCTTTTATTACATCTTTCCACTCTTGCTTGTGTTCTTTTGGATAACATTGTCATTTTATCAGCATCAATCATTGATAGTAAAGCTGACTGTGTGCTTTTTTTTTCAATCAACAATTGAAGTGACTGCATCAAGAGTCCACTACTAACTCCTTGTAGTGTGAAGGATGTCCAAACATTTGATTATGAATATTTGACTGCAGTTGGAAGAACTGAATGATTCTTCCATCCCAGGAAATGAGTGTTTTATCTTCTGATCTCTTGGTTATGAAGAGTTATCGGACACCAACTTAATTAATCTCGAGTGGTGTATTTTTTTTTTACGCTAAGTTCATTGAGCCAAGTTATGTTAATGACTGGTATTTCGTTTCTGATCTGATTGAGGTTTTCAAAGTACTGTTGAATCTTAAGAGCAAAGCTTGCATTTCTGCTCAGAAGTGTAAAATTTTTCACTTCTGATGTCATACACCTGTTACATACTTGATCTCTGGATTTTAATATTTTCTTGGTATTCCTTTGATCTTGTAGTGTTCTGCCAATACCATCCAATCCTCTGTTTGAAAGGTTGTAGTATAAATCTCCCACAGCATGTGGAGTGTAGCAGTTCAGGAAGGCAGCTCACCACTACCTTCTCGATGGCAACTAGGGGCAGGTAATAAATGCAGGCCAGCCAGTGACGCCCTTGTCCCACAAGTGAATATAAAAAAATAGCAAGTTTATCACAAAAAAAAGCCAAGGAGTTTTCAATACTCACCTTTCAAATTTGAAGTTAGTGAGATTTACTTGAGATAAATCACTTGTCAACTTTGAAGTAACTCTTAACCTGCATGACCTGTCATAGGTGATTCACCCTAAGAAACGTTGATTCATGCCTTCCCAAAGTGGCAATGTCACCATATCATGAAATATATTCTAAAGAAGTAAGTCTTGGTATAATGGGTTTCTTCAAAAGATGTTTGCCTCTTTGTGTACATTAGTTTATTGAGTACGTGGTTGAACAATTGTTTTATTCATTCTTGCACATTTTCTTACAGAAAACGCATTGACATGACAAAATTAACATTGCTTCTGATTTTAACTCCAGACCTGAAACAGTAACTGTGATATGTAGGGATTTAAGTACACTTTGTGTTTCTATCTTAGAATATTTTGGTGTTTTCGTACCTTTTATGAAGTTGAAGTCTGAGCATTTTGAAGTAGGTTGGCTTTCTGTTTCCATCATTCTCTCGTATTGTTTTTGAATTTCAGTTTGTGATATGCTTTTTTGAAAATCCATCTGAAAGAGATGGATCAGAAATTGTGACATCAATTCTGTCCCTAATTAGTTCTGCTTGTAAACCACCATATTGCAAAATTCTGACAACATAAAGATCATTGATAACAAGTTCTCCAGGAAGCTGTATTCTTTTAAGTCTTGCTCTCTGGATTAAGCACTGGTACTTGATGTTAAGTAATTGTCAAGTGCTCTTACAATATTATCAAAGATGTTATCTGTCTTGACTTTTCCCCAGGATGGGGAATTTCAAGCCTAGGAGCCACATTTTTAAGATGACAGGAGAGAGATTTAAAAAAGACATGAGGCAATTTTTTTTTTGTTTTGTTTTACTCAGAAGGTAGTTTGTATGTTGAATAAACTTCCTGAGGAAGTGATGGGTGTGGGTACAATTACAACATATACAAGGCACTTGGATAGGTACATGAATAGGAAAGGTTTGAAGGGATATGAGCCAGAAGCAAGCAACTGGGCCTAGTTTCGTTTGGGATTACGTTCGGCATGGACTGTCTGTTTCTGTTTCCATGCTGTATGATTCTGAGTCTGATTTTACAATTGTTACAATAAGGTGAGGAGTGGTGATCAGCTTCTTTCTTTTTTACCTCCCCTTTTGATGATTGTATCAACTTTTTAAAAAGTTTCTTTTTAGCAAGCAGCTATCACATTTAACTAGATTTTAATTTCAACCGGATGAAAATGACAGCTCCAACTCCAAGGATAATTTAGGCGAAAGGAAATGTAATTGTATTACCTACTACCCCAAAATTTAATAATAAACTACATCAGACACGTGCACAAAACAAGTAACAAACTTAAGGGGAAATGGGTTCAGGTAAAGGCAATTGTAATTTAAAGCTTTTCATAGTCTTTGAGTTGAGAGTGAAACTTGAGTTCCAATCATTTACCTGTTTCCTCAGGAGTGGTGCTTTCAAGAACAAAAACAAAATTGCTGGAAGGCTCAACAGGTCGGGTAGCATCTGCGAAGGGAAAAAAAGTCAACGTTTCAGGTCCGGTGACCCTTCCTCAGAACGGTGGTGCTTTCAAGTTGCTTTTTCACCAGCAGCAACTTCTCAGATTGAGGAAAGAAGCAGAGGAAGAACTTTCTTTGCTGTTATCAGTCCATGCTGATTTATCTCTCACTCAAAGCTTGTTGTTATTATGCAATTGTGTACAGATTCTGGTGTCTGCCCTTAATTCTAAAATGGCAGTTGTAGACAATCTTTCACCTCTCTGTGCACATATCACGTGAGTGTGAGTAAAGCAAAAGAAGCAAGTTTCTTGACTCCTAATTCAATTTCAGACCATCTTGATTAAAATGTCATTTCCACAGTTTACAGCACATCTGAGTTGCCTGGGACTGTCACATGACATAGCAGCCATTTTTGGATAGTGCTATCCTTTCTAAAACAAAAACAATTTTTAACCCATGTAAATCTCAGATTTGAAGTCAACATTGTAGATCAAGAAAGTCTCACAGGCTCAGACACGCCCAGCTATGACAAAAGAATCCTACACTGGTAAAACTATAGGTCCCTTCCAGAAAACAAGTAGAAGTAGTGTATAGCTTCAAAGCAGAAAAATGCTAAATGCTTCCTCAAATAAAAATATTTTTGTGGTAGAACCTCTTCCTTTGGCACAGTTACCTGCATTAAATAATATATTGTACACCAGTAGAAAAGAAAGTGGAGCGTTCCTCGGGGAAATTGGTGATCCAAATATTTTGAATTTGACAGAGCTGTGTATGTCGATGGATATCCTGTTAGTTTTAAATTTGATGCAGGTGCGATTATCATTATCCTATCAAATCTAAATACCATAGCTAAAGAAACAGAAGTTCCAGTCTACAGAAATGAAATAACATGGCACAGATACCTTTTGGTCTTGAGAGTTATCCTATACTACAACATAACGTACTACATGCAACAAAAACACAAGAAATGTGATGTTTACAGAATTCATAATCAACACTTCTCCTTTTTGAGACCGCACACTTGTCTGTTAACTCAATACCCTTAAAATAGAAGGAATCCAAGTTCCAAGAGACGACTGGTCCAGAAATAAACCAGTGTCTCAAACCTGTCAAGGTGCAGTTGATAGATTTAATTGGGCTTCCGTGACAATTGTGAAAGAATCTGTTGGGATTAACTGTATTGCCTTAAAGATTTGTCTCTTACAGTCAACAGGAAGGAAGTTGCAGATTTTACAGGGGTTGTTAAAATGTGTTCCACTCCTATTCTAGCAAACAATGGATTGGGGATTACAAAAAAGCAAATTTTGCCAGAAAAAGCAAAAACTGAGAACTAGAATGAGTTGTATAACCCAGTTGACCTAATCAACAAGACTGTCACTGAAGTTGCTCAGACATCAAACAGCCTGCTAAACACATTTATTTAGCATATTTGACTTCATCGAGTCAAAGAAAACCATTTTCAATCATGGACATTTGGGGAAATTAATGCTTCTCATGCTGAGATAACTACCTAATTCAGGAAGAAAAAAATTTCTTCAAGAAGGAAACACAGGAGATCAAAGAAGCTTCAGTTAAGGTAATTTACCAACTACTGGGTCTTTGACAGAATGTTAAGTGTCTTTGTTAATCTGTAATTGTACAATTAAGCCACATACAGCTAAATTACTCTAACCTAAAATCACCAAAGTAACCTTTTTGAACTGGCAGACAGTTTGACTCTCCAAACTGAGAGAGTTTTAATTATAAAAACCGGAGTAGTTTTGACTATTAAAGATGGATTAAGTTGAATCCACAGGTCCTCTACTTTGTCAGTCTTGCTTTTGAGCCATATAAGAAAATATCTTTAAGATAAAGGAGCAGAATACAACTGTTTGATGCATAAAGTCTGATCTATCATTCAATCCTGGCTGAGGTGTTTCACAATCCCGTTCTCCTGCCTTTTCCCTGTAACTTTTGATCCTTTTACCAATCAAGAACCTAGCAATCATTCTTAAAAACTCTCAATGACCTGGCCTCCACAGCCCTCCTAACGCAATAAATTCCACAGATTCAGCACCATCTGGCTGAAGAAATTCCTCCTCATCTCCATTCTAAAGGGTCATCCCTTCACTCGGAGGCTGTGCCCTCAGGTCCTAGTTTCTCCTACTAGTGTAAACATCTTTGCCACATCCGCTCTATCCAGGCCTCTCATTATTCCATTAGTTTTAATGAGATCACCCACATACTTCTAAACTCCATGTACAGACACAGTCATCAACTGCTCCTCATATGACAAGCTCTTCATCCCCAGGATCATTCTTATAAACATCCTCTGGACCCCTTCAAGGCCAGCACATTCATCCTTAGATACAGGGCCCAAAAATGCTCACAATATTCTGACCAGAGCCTCAACAGTACATCTCTGCTCTTGTATTCAAGCCTTCTTGAAATGAAAGCTAACATTGCATTTGCCTTCCTGACCGCAACCGAACCTGATTGTTAACCTCAAGAGAATCCTGAACTAGAACTCCCAACACCTTTGTGCTTCAGATTTCCAAAGCTTTACTGCTGTTTAGAAAATTGTCAACAACTCTATTCTTCCTATCGTAGTGCACAACCTCACACTATCACACGTTTGTATTCCATCAGCTACTTCTTTGCCCACTCTCCTAGCCTGTCCAAGTCTTTCTGCAGCCTCCCTGCTACCTCACCACTCCCTCACCCTCTGCCTATCTTTATATTATCTGCAAGCTTAGCAACAATGTCCTCAGTTCCTTAGCCCGGATCATTATTGGATGACATGAATAGTTGTGATGCCAACAGGACCTCTGCAAAACTCCACTAGTTACTGAATGCCATCCTGTAAAAGTCCCGTTTATTCCCTGTTTTCTGCTTTCTGCCAATCCTCTATCCTTAGCTGTACCTTGCCCTTAACACTGTAGTCTATTCTTCAACAACATCCTGTGAAGCATCTTGTCAAAGACCTTTGGAAATCCAAGTAGATCATGTCTAACTTGTTTGTTACCTCCTCAAACAATTCTAACAGATTTGTCAGACATGAACTGCTGTTGATATCGCCATGCTACTTCTGCCCTATTTTTACTATGCACTCCTCTCTCTCACCCTTAATAATGGACTCTAAGATCTTACCAGCAACTGGCCTATAGTTTTGTGTCTTCTGCCTCCCACCCTTATACAGGGGTATTAAATTAGCCATTCTCTAGTCTGCTGGACCCTCCCTGACTCCAGTGATTTCTGAAAGATTATCACCAATGCCTCTACATTCTTCTCAGCTATCTCCTTCAGAACTCTGGGATGTAGTGTATCTAGATTAAGTGATTTACCCACCTTCAGAACTTTCAGTTTCCCCAGCACCTTCTCCTTAGTGATGGTCACTACACTCACCTCTGCCCCCTCAGTCTCTTGTAATTCTGGTATGCCGCTGGTGTCTTCCAGTGTGAAAACTGATGCAAAATACCTATTCAATTCTTCTGCCATTTCTTCGTTCCGCATTACTACTTCTCCAGCCTCGTTTTCCAGCGGTCCAAGTCTACTCTTCTCTCTCTCTCACCTTTTTAGATATCTATAAAAACCCTCACAATCTTTCATATTACTAGCTAGCTTACACTGAGTATATCATCTTCTTTCTCCTCCTCCCTGCCCCTAGACATCCTTTTTCACAGTTATTCTCTGCTGGTTTTTTAATGGCTTTCCACCAATCTCCACCGTGTTGTATACGTTTCCTTTTGCTTTTATGCTGTCCCTGACTTCCCTTCTCAGCCATGGTTGCCTCATCCTCCACTTAACATGCTTCTTCCTTGGGATGAATTTCTGCTGTGCCTCCAGCTTTACCCTTAGAAACTCTTGCCAATGCTGTTCTATTGTCTTCCCTGTTAGGCTCCCCTTCAAATCAACTGTAGCCAGCTCTTTCCTCATGTCTTTGCAGTTACCTTTACTCAATTGTAATACCATCACATCTGGACCCAGCTTTTCTGCTTCAAACTGCAGGGTGAATTCTGTCATATAATGGTCACTGCTCCCTAGAGGTTCCTTCAATTTAATCTTCTTCAAGTCTGCCTCATTACACATCACCAAATCCAGAATTGCCTGTTCCTTAGTGGGCTATATCACAAGTCACTTCAAAAAAACCATCTCATTGACGTTCCATGAATTCCTTTTCTTGAGATCCACTACCAACCTAGTTTTCCAAGTCCACCTGCACATTGAACTCCCCCATGATTATTATAATAGAGTATTTTATACATAGCTTTTCTACCTCCTGGTTTATTTTCTTTCCCACCTCCTGACTAATGCTAGGAGGTCTGTACACAACTTCTATCAGGTTCTTTTTTTCTTTGCAGTTCCTTAACTCTACCCACACAGATTCTACATCTTCTGACTCTATATAACTTTTTGCTATCAATTTAATTTAGTTTCTTACTAACCAGGCAACTCCACCCCTCTGCCTGTCCTTTCGATAAGATATCCTTGACTATTTGGTTCCCAGCCCTGATGCCTTTGCAGCTGTGTCTCTGAAATACTGTACCCATCCATTTTAATCTATGCTGCAAGCTCATTTATCTTGTTTCATATCCAGCGTGCATTTCAGTACAACACCCTCAATCCTGCATTGACTTCCACCCCTTATCATAGGTGTCCCCTTATATCCTTATTTGCTGTGCCTGAAGTTAGATTCTTGACCCTTTCCATACTCTGTCCTGTAACTTGTTCTGGAAACTTTAATAACCTCTGCTGAGCCGTCCCTCCATCCACCCTTAATTTTTACCCATAATTTTCCATGCAACGTGTAAGCTGTTATTGTGAGCTTCAGCCCTACCACAATGTGATAAGAACCATGGTAGAAGAAAAGGAGATAAATAAAAATAGATAGGAAAATTTAATTTAAATAAGACTAATGCATTGCTGCCATTTTTCCAGCATCTTGTGACCGTTTGACAGACGCAACATTCCGCCTTCAGCTATGTTTTGTGTACTTGACAATACATGCCATTTCAAGTGCGCTGCTCGTGCCTGTAGATATCATATCAAGGATTTGATCAATGTTGA